GCTTTTCTGTGAAAATGAACTAAAGCAGATCATCTTCTATCTATTTATATAAATAAAAATGTAATGTTCGTTTGTTCCTACCTATTCCTTTGAAATTTTGACACAACGCTGCATTCGAATACGCACGTGTTTTTATTTAATATACATGTCGAAATTCAACCCCACTGAAGGGAGATGGTTAGGATTAAGGCTTACCGTAAAGAACTATGCTTCTATTTATAGACTACTATTTTAGATGCGGGTTTTTGCGTTTTTGATTGCGTTTTAATAGGGTACGTCAAGAGAATGTACACTAAGAAATTTTTCGAAAACTTACCCCTCCCCCACGGGGGAAGTGTTATAAATTTATAATAAATACATTTTGAGCCACAACAACGCGTGGCGGGGTCTGCTAGTTCTGTTATAAATTGAATTACTTCTTTAAAAAACTCATAAGTAACATTCACGGGAGCTCTTAAATCAGATTTAATAATTTTAAGAGTGGAAGATAAACGCTCTAATGAAACTTGAATTGGTGGCAATGCTGTATCTTTGATAGTGCAGTATCGCCATTTTAATTAATATCCAAATTTGAAGAACGGTCAATGTGATTTACTTTTTTATTGTAAAAATCATCTTTAAATTTTATAAGATTTCCTTTTCTGTCTGTGTTCATATTAGAACTCAACTTAATTTTGAGGGGAGAGACGAGTTTTATAAAAAAAATTGCGAACGCTAATAACGACTAAAATATTCATTAAGTCCGACCACACTGGAGATATGACACACGACTTTTTTATGTCTCTATTCTGTCGACTTTAAGAACTAAAATATAATAGCATTAAGAAATAAACTTTGATGCGGTAGCTTGTGTATAAGAGGCATTGATGCTATTGGTGGTTAAAGGTCAAGAGGGTAGGGAGATAGAGGGGAGTCGTATGATATTTCAAGAGGGTCGGAATTAATGAAGATTTTACTCGTTACTAGCATTTGTAATTTTTTTTATAAAATTCATTTCTACGCTTAAAATTAATCCTTTTGCAATTTTATAATAATTAAAAATATGAAAAGTTTATATAACAAAATCTCATAACAGATGGCGCCACATACAGTTTTATTTATTATAGTATACTGTAACAGAGTCGGTAGATTAACTGGTCTNGCAGTGCCCCTGGTGGTAACATTTGTCTCTAGTTGATTCTAGCAACGAGCGAAGATAGGAAGTCGAAAGACCAGTTAATCTACCGACTCTGACTGTAATTAAAAGTATAAAAGTTATTTTTTAAATAAAATCTCACAACTGCCGAGAAAGTTACGCAACTCGTTGCTATTGGTAGATTTTTTTTTATAAAAACAGTTATATTTCTTGAAACGAACGATCTTTTTCTCAGTTTGAATATAGAAAGATCTATACAGTCATACCCCGAACTTACGCGATAGGTGGGACCGAGCGATAACCGCGTAAGTCGAATTCGCGTAAGTCGGGGTATAATTTTACATATAAATACATACAAATTATTTTTAATTGGGGTCGGACACTAAAGAAAACAATAATTTAGAAAAAAAATGTTTAATAAAATCTTAGATAACACATATGTATAACAAATTAGGCCTATATTATTTTACAATTTTTCACATTTACTTGATTATTACGCCATAATTTTAATTAACATTGTTTCCATCTCAGCGATAATACTGTGACGTTTAGAAATGATGCTTGAATTTAAAGATTGAGCATTTTTCACAGCTTCGAGAATTTTTTCTTTACCTTTTATAATTGTTCTGACCGACAATTCCGGTAGATCAAACTTCTTTGCCAATTCACAAATTTTCATTTTTGTATCGAAGTCTTTAATAATGNAAACTCCACAAACTTACAACATACTACAAAGTATACAGTAAACATATCTTAATCATTGTATGTTCTTTGGAACCAAGAATAAAATTGCTATCAAGTACTAATATTTTAATCATTTCCAATTTTTAATATTTTTTTATTTAAACAAATGCTTATGCTTATTTTATTAATAATCATTCTCAGAGGGGAAATCACACCTTATTGTCTCTCTCTAGAATTTAGAGTCTACATCTTTTCTTCTAAAATAAATACAGAATATATAAAAACAATTATTTAATATTTTTAAAAATTAGAATTAAATGTATTTTTAAACTTTATAAAGTATTTTAGACAAATTATTTTGTTAAAATATGGCGCCAGCCTATTGCTCTTGGGATATGGGATCGAATTGGAGATTTAATCTTCAGGAAAGTTTTCATTGGCGTCAGTCCCGAATATGTCGAACTCTGTCCTTACCACTTGTCCCTACTGTAGGCCTGGACAAACCCAAAATGGGGATGGAAAAGGCTCCTCTAAATGCCTAAAGGGCGGAAAGAGTTTTAAAAAATATATAATTTTTTACTTTATAGTCTACTTGTTTTGTAATTATACAATGTCTTATAATAATAATAATAATAATAATAATAATTCAAAATTATTTTAAATATTTAAATAATGTGAAAACTGTTTATTCTACATGGATATATTTCAAATTAATTTTAATAAGAAAATACCAAATTTAAATTCTAATATACAGCAATATATTTTATATTTGAAATTCTAGTTTTAATAACATTTACAATATCGACATTATTATTTTAATTTATATACAGTATAATAATCAAGAATTTAATAAATATACTATTAAATAAGTAACGTTTTGTAAATTTAATATTACATTGTATAGAAGTTTAATATATTCTCTTATTGTAGATATTATTAAATAAATAAATAATTTAAATGAACGTTATTTACAGATCAAGCTAGTGTCATAAAAGTGACAAAGACTGCCATCGCCGATGCTGGTGACAATGCTTACTTTGAATGTGTGGCAACAGCGAATCCTTTAAGTAACGATGTCATAAAGTGGAGAAGAAAAGGCTTTGATATGAGCAGAACACAGGAGGTAGCTGAAAGAGGTAGATCATATTTGACAGTTTTGAATGTCAGTAAAGAAGATATTGGAACATTTGAATGTGTGGCTTACAATGGTGTAGGAGATGAATCAATTGGACGAGCGCAGCTGATTGTCAAGTGTGAGTTGTGAGTGAGATTTATCCTCACAGTAAACAAGATTTAGATATGTTATACATTGATAAAAATGTTCTTAAAACATATGTTAAGATTCTTTTCTTTTATAAATATTATTTTATTTAGTTAAGCCGAAGATTCATCTTCCAAAAAATCTTTTGAATGTTGCCGGAGATATTGGAGAAACGGCTAGATTGGTGTGTTTAGCTGACGGTGCTCCCGACATTAGTTTTGTATGGTCCTATAATGGAGGTATAATTGGAGATAATTTTAGCAGTGATAAATATGCTTCTCAATCAACGCAATTAACTGAAATCAAATGGGAGAGCGTGCTATTTGTAAGAAACTTGAAAATAAATGATTTTGGACAATACGCGTGCGTTGCTCGAAATGAATTAGGACACGACCATATGAAATTAAAATTACGCAAGAGAGGTTAGTTTTTAATATATAAAAATTATAAATAAATTTAATTTTTTGTTTTATATTTACAATGTTTTCTTGAAAGTGCAGGTAGACCCGATCCTCCCGAATCGTTACGTGTTGTAAATATTACACACGATAGCGTCATTCTTAGTTGGATTCCTGGTTTCAGTAGTGGTTTGCCACAACATTTTCGAATAAAATATAAGAAAAGTGGTTCTAAAGAATTTATTGTTACGAACGTTGTTCCTTCTAATTCGACGGTTTACGGAATTAAAAACTTAGAACCCGGTACAGAATATGTGTTTGCAGTGGTAGCTCGAAATGCCTTAGGTGAAAGTGAAATTCAAGAGAAAGAAACAATTACTTTTACTTTAAGTAAGTTGCTAGTGTATAATAAATCGTAATTTTTATTCAAGGTGTATGCATTATTTAATAATTATGATTTTATTATTATAGCGGAAGGACATAATTTCAGAGATTCAGCTAGTGCATCTCTAGATGCTTTCAGTGGAGAAGAAGGCGAAGTGCCTCGTTTATTACTCGTTATAGTGTCTCTAGTTGGATCAGTTCTACTCGTTCTAAACGTGATTCTCGTTATTTGTTTTATTCAGAGAAGGAAAAGAAGACAACAGAGAGCTAGTAAATATGAATATTTGTCTTGTTTTACTATTTTTACTACAGATTTTCAGGTACACTCATTTCTATCATGACTTTTTACTCTTTGATTGGTTAGTATATTAGTGATGTACATTACTTTAGCTGTCTGGATTGATGTTTCGAAGATTACGATCGATGAGAGGTTTACTTCTGTCAGCATTCTGCACTTAGATCGGGTCATAGACCTTGTGACATTAGATCGATAGTTTTACTAATCTTTACTGCCATCTAGTAACTTGAATATATATTAAAACTTAATTTTATAAAGGGAAAATTTATTTTAAAATTATTTTTCATATATATTCTTAATTCTCATAATTAGAAATAGGAAATTCTTAATAGAAAGAATTGTGTATTAAAAATAATCTTATGTATGTTATAAAGTTCCAGAGAGTATAGGACATATCAATATATTCATAATAAAATTTATTACACCATTCATTGTATTATATTCCTAATTTACTTCTTTCGTATAGAAAAATTTATTATTATAGAACAAAATAATTAATTTATAGTTAAATTTTTAATCAGTTCGATTCTTTTTAAATATAAATAAATGCATGCAAAACAAATATACACAATAGGCCAAAAATCAGTTAACCCAAATGTATTTTTTAACATTATATTTAGAAACTATTGCAACATAAAATCGGTTTAGACCAGATGATATTCAAGCCTCATTCATCGTATTGGATCCTGTTAACCGACTTTTGGCTCACCCTATATATAATAAATCAATCAAATTTGTAATGTTCATAATGTAATTGCTAAAATAAGTAAAATATGTTTTAGGTGCAGCGAATGAAAGTGAAAAAAGTGAAACAACGCTGACTCCATCCGATTCACTTATGTACACACCTAGCAAGTATCAGCAAACAATCAACGGGGAAGCGTTATGCCCACTGGATGAGATGGAAGATAACTGTCCAGAAGAACTAATGATGAAAGAAATCGTGGTAATAAAAGGATTAAATATTACTCCAAGGTCTTATAGTAACGTAACATAATTTGTTCTGTCACTTAAGCCGAAGCACACTAAAATATAAATAAATGACTGTTGCGGATAAAATTTACTTGGAACAAATATATTTTGGATATTACATGTAAGATCCATTTGAGGATGAGTTATCGTTGAATTTTTTGTAGTGCGCATTAAAATATATCATTCTGATAATTTGGGAGGGCTTTCTGACTTTGTAGTGAAGATAAAGCAGGTGTTATCTTCCTCTTATTGTGTAAGAAATGGTTTATCTTTATTGAACTAAATTCAAAATCAATTATCAGTAGAGAAGACAATTCAAAATAAATGATGCAATTATCGGTTTTTTTCTTAATTGATATTTTAAAATAAATATTATTAGATCTATTCAACAGGAGTTTTCTCACGTATTGAAAATAATTCACAAAACTGTTTATCAATTAGTAATATTTATTCTAAGCATTTAAAATGTATTAATTCATTACAAGCAAAAAGTTTAGGATTTTTTAAATATTTATTAATTAAAATTCATATTAATTTTTATTAATTACAGGAAGATAGCGATGGAACGGTCAATTCTAATCATAAATTAATAACGGTTAATGAATTGGATTGGAACGAAAAACACGGTAAGTTTGTACAAATTGTTCTTTGATAAGTATAAATGTATTTAATTATTTATATTAAACAGCAAATTTTGTTAATATTTGGGTGATTAATACTGATCATTTTTAAATGAAGTTTTAGAAAGTTTCTTTATGTAAATCGTGTGATTTAAATGAACAGACTTTATATTTTCTTTTATATGAACAGTATAATATCACACTGTACAGTGCAAGTTACATCAATCATTTATACTCAAGTATAATTACTACTATGAACACTTAAGAATACTATGACAAAATACAATTGTAGGCCTTATACTTGTTAATAATTTATAATAAACTATAAACGTATTATATATTTACATAAATTTTTACATTATTTTAAATAATTATAATCTTTTTAATTATTGCTTTAATATTTTAAAATTAACAAACAATAAAAATTTATATATAATTGAAAATAATAACCTACTTATTCCATAAAGTATATAACAGAATATTATTTAGGACAAAAAATGGTATTGAAATATATGCGAATATCTTATAAAAAAGAACAATTATTTATTATTCTAAATCTAAAAAAGGCTTCAATATTAATTTTTAAAACTGTTTAAACAGACAATGAAAAGAAATATTGTAGAGAAGAGGAAAATTGTCCAGATATTTTAAGAAATAGGATTGAAGATTCTAAAGTAAGTAAAATAATTGAATTATAACAGTAAATATATATAATAAAGCTTTTTAATAAAGATTTTTAGCTTTATTATAAAGCTTACAATCATAAACAGAAGTGAAAGTTTTATATAACATAGAGTTGCTTTTAGAAATAAATTAATAATGTGTGTAAATATATGATTTTAATCTAAAGTTTCTTTCAATATGGTTATACTACAACCCTTTTATTACTAAATTTAATAACAATTTACAAATAAAGCAAATAAAAATGATTTGCTTTATTTTATTTCTTCTTTGATAATAGAAAAAATAAAGTTCTGCTGTAATTCAAATTTTCTTGTTTGTTAATAATATTCTCTCTTCAATGCTTAAAGTCTATCCCATCCATATTCATGATAATATAATAATTTAAAGTCAAATTTAAATTCTTAGAAATTATTATATGCAGTCATTGGCCGGATGTATTATGAAACTAATGAAGCTTAAGATTTCAGAGTCCCTAATTTTGGAGGGCTCTGATCGAACTTTTTTAATGAATGAATTTTTCAGACAAATGCATGAAGCTTAAGTGCTTGTTATTAAAATAAAGCTATTTTAGTGATAAAATCATAAGCTAATGTGTTGAAGTGGGCTATTTAATAATGACTTTAGAATACGCTCTAATACCATATCATATCGTCTCCAAATGTCCTTGTAATTGGTCAGATTTCAAAATTTTCTTCTGTTCTATAACACGTAACTATACCCACAACTATATGGGCTCGCTGCGCTTACCATAAGTATTCATAACCTACATTTTGGCGGCTGGCTCTTCGATTACTTCGTTGATGCACGACTTAGTATTTCTATATTTTGTCCTTAGGCTAGAACCGACCATAAAAAGATATCCGAATTCTCAATTCACACTGTACTCATTTCGCTTGTGCCTTTTAACACCATTATTAATAAGATTTTCACCCCTTTATCCTAACAATCCCATCTGATGACCTTCTACTTCTACAGTAGAGATGTAGAAGTAAAAAAGGTATTGGTTCATTCTCTATAGTAGCGAATGAACCAATACTATTTTTGCGCATTGATGTTGGTAGGTGTAATTTACGTTTTTTTATTCCTCAGAATTTTCTTCTTTTTTGTTTTTGGACTATATCTCTGCTGTTAGGAGACCCCTTCGCAACTAGCGAAAGTGCCCATAACAGTTTAAGGTTACAAAATATGTATGTCCACTAATTAGTTGTTAAAATTATTAGTTATAATAGGAAACAAGGGGAAGATCCTTGTCTTCATTGAAAACATTTATTTCAATTTAAAAAAAAAGTAAGTTATAAGCTGGAAAGTTTATAAAATATAGAAAATAACTTTGATTAAGAGAAGAAAGTCATGCAGCTGTATAAAATAATAATGGATCCGAAATCATAAAGAGTTATCCGCACAACATCTGGTATAAGCCTTCCTTTGTTTTAAAAATTTTTAAATATATTTTTATGCTAAATGCTTTTGTGTTTTATTAAGTTTCTTTACTTAGTTGTGAAATTTAATATTTAATTAACGCATATGCAATAATAATCTAGAATAAAAAGATGAAATAAAGATAAATGAATTTATTAATGTTTGAGTTTATAGACGTGTATTTCAAAGATACAGTTGTGTTAATTTCTTTTATATATATTTTAAACATTTATTATTTTAATCAAAGGATTACATACAATTATATTTATCTACGAATACAATTCAAGTATTGACAGGAAAATAGGCATATATTTATTATAGATTGAGTCTAAGTTACTAAGCTGATAATCATTAGAAACTACACTTTAGTTTTATTTAAACTTTGTCGTGAAACTTTGTCCTAACGTAAAAGTTAATAAATTTAAATTTTCTTGATTAATTAATGCAGAAATACTTCGTAAATTTAGAAAACTAAATAACGTATTTCTCAATTCCTGATGTAAATAGACACATTATTTTTGTATGACAAGGACTAATCAGGCGAGAATTTCATCCAATATATTTTATTGTCATTCTTCACGTGTATGCATTTCGGGCTTTAGCTCCTCTTCCGTAAATGCTACAATGATATAATACATCAAACTAACCACTACATAAAATAAAACAAACATACAAACTTCTACATACATTTACATAACATATTTAATAACATTTTTTATATAAGTCTATAAAAGTTTTTTGTAGTTGAGTAAGTAAAGATAAGTAAACATTGATCTTGTTTAAAGAATTCTTTAAACATCTTAAAATATGCCAGATCATTCTTTACCATAAACTGACAACAACAAAGTGCCTCTTTTCCTACATTTTACTATTGTAATTAGCCAATTAAAACTATTACGTCACCCCAATTTGTATTAACTAAAGCACTATTACTTAATTTTATATTATTCTTATATTTTCTAATTTCAAAAACTCTAATTTGGTCAATATGGCTTTGCTTTTACAGTAACACATTTTCGGTTATCATCTTACACATGGCTACTCTGTTTTTCCTCTTATTTCATAAAATACGGCTGGGTTTCGGGATTGCAAGATTGGGCTACGAATAGCACATTAGGGCTCTAGGCTACTACATTTGGGCGATTTACTACTTTTGAGCCACTATTAAAAATAATTTGGGCTACATTTAGAAAAGTTCTCCTTTACTTTTTATAAAACCTATTTGGCAACCTGTTATTTGCTTGCGGTTTATTTATATTAATATTATTTATTATAAAATAAATTTCAGGCTTCAAAAATTTTCAATTTTGTTTATATAAATATGTTAAAAATTATGTTTGATTATACAAAATGACATATAGTATTTCAGTAATGGTTTTATTACTTTTATATAATTGAGTAATTGCAAATTATCATTTCTAATTATTTAGATTTTTTCCCTGTTTTATTTTTGCTAATATAGTCTACTTTGGAAGAAAATTTTTAATCATTAAGAGTGTTTATTCTGTTTTAACCAGTTAATATCATTTAATATCCAGATTTCACATTATATCATGAAAATATTTCAACTTTTTGTTTATATTGTTTTCTAATTATCTATTAATATGGGGAAAATTTTTGTATTTGCTCACTAAATTTAAAAAAGTATTCTGTGTAGAATTATAAAAGTCATGTGAAGCAGATGGGCCATAATGTGGATCAAACAGAGATTGATTCAGCCATCTATAGATAAAGATTTTTCTTTTCGTTTTATCTTGTAAATAGGTCATTTGATTAAATGTAGGTATGAAACATGACTACCTCAAATATACAGTATTTAACATAAATATAACATTTGGAAAATTCTGATGGCATAAAATCAAAAATATACTGAATAAAGTGTAAAAAGAAGTTGGAAATCATTCTCAATCTCAAAATGCTATGTGAATAGCTGATTATTAACATAACAAGTTTAATGCAGCCTTTTTTTATGTCTTTTGCATTTATATTATATGTCTGCTGTTATATATCAGACTTTTTCAGGAACTGAAATATAGAATTGAGACTTTTGAGATTTGATAAATAAATTGATATTAAATATGGAATTTTAAGAGGGAAATTTTATATCAAATTTCATCTTCAGTTACTTTATTTTCATTAAATATCAAACTATTTTCTAGTGCATGATGATAACCTAATTTTATAATACTTTTTAAGATTTTATATATATTGAACAGTAATTATATTTGTTTGCAAGTTTTCTTTTTATATTANTATAAATATCAACTTTTTTCTACTTGGTTGTTGCGCGAGGCCCCTCCAAGAGCGAGGCCCCGGGCGATTGCCCTGCTCGCCACCCCCTAAGGCCGCCACTGTTCGTTATTGTAAACCGCGCTTAAGTTAGGCGCCATCTATTCATTTCTTTTGTATGTCCGACGATCAAAAGACCGCTTGGGATCGAGTCTGTTTATAATTTGAAAGGTAATCTTGTCAGTTGTATATACAAAAGGTAAATTGTTTACAAAATGAGTCTTTGTTTATTATCTGATAAATGTATACTTTTTTCGTCAATTGTTCACGATTGCAGATGTCTTTTGTGTAAAATCCAAGTCGGATGTATGTAAGCTAATAAATGTTCTCGTTAATCTTATCTCACCTTTTGGTTCGTTCATGGTTACAAGAAATCATCACCTAGAGTCTCTCGAGTCTCCGTAGATATAACAAACAGAAATAAATTACACAAAATAAATTGTAGCTATGCGTCGATTCCGCGCGACACGTCCGAACGCGTAAGCTGAACAATAGTGTGGGGGGAGTGAATAATCGAGAGTTGCGTGGCACTCAAACAAAAGACGAATCGACGAGATTTGAAAATCGCGTAACTCCGGTTCGCGTAAGTCGGGTATTACTGTATTTGATTGTTTCGTGTAAAATACATACACGAAACAATCATAGAATGATTGTTTCGTGTATGTATTTTATGATATGATATGAAATCACCTGACCGATAGAATACATTCTATCGGTCAGGTGAATTCATAAAATTTCATTAATTAACGTTTACGTAACTAAACAATAACACGCATATTTAATATAACTAACTTCCGATGATGTCAGATAAACGCTCTTAAAATGGCGTCGGATAAACGAAATACTGTATTACGAAATTGCGCTGTCGGTCAATCAGAAACTTCGTCGAAAAATACTAGACGAACGAGAGGAAGGATTTGTTCTAGTTTTGGGGGGTGGCGAGGTAAAGATGACGTTCGATTATAGAAAATCTCGCTTCAAACCCCTCGTGGAGAATGGAAACCGAAGGCGGAGGGTGGTAGGGAGTCTCTCGATCCCAATCCGTCATCACTCGGAGGATAGAAACGTGAAAAATGCAGATATTTAGTCTTAAAATTCAAAAAGAATCCATGACGTCAATCGCATTTGAATTCGTTACCAGCTTTCTAATCTCGTAACAATTGCCGTTTCTATGGAAACGCGTATTGTTGCAACACGATTTTGCGTCACTTTGCACGTTTTTCGTTTGCCGAACGGATGTGTGCGCTCTTTGCTCCAGTATCTGTTGTGTTTTTTGCCTTTTTCAGTATTCTTTGCTACCCGAACGTGGTTTTAAGAAGACTTTTGGACGCCGACATTACACCAACTAAGATTTTAATTAGAATTTAGCTAGCTGTAAGATTTTATTTTCGTTTCGTTTAGTCCAACTTTCGGAGACGACATCGGCCGACTCGGACTTTGCATATTTGCGTTTAAATCTGCCGTCGCTTGTGTTTTTCGTTTGAATTACCATCCGAAACGCACTTGTTTCTACTTTTAAACCAGCCGCCACATTGGAAAGCGACCGAAGCGCCGAAAAGGACAGACGCAAAGGATTAAGTATTTGTTCATTGGTTTATTTTCGTAATTAATTAATTTAGATTATATTTTATAAACACGGTCAACGAATAAGGATTATTTGCAAATATCTTATTTATAGAAATTTAATTAAAACTTATTTAATACTAACTCTAAATACGAATTGCATCGCAAAGCTCATCGCAATTTTAATTAAAATATACACTCGAAACCGGATGGACCGAAGGATAAACGGAGATCGTATTCTGAAGCATGACATGTTCCTTCGACACATCCGGGACATCAAAAATTTCGCCCTTTAACCTCCGACTTTTCCATTGAATCTATGTATTAGTTACAACACTTTTCAAAGGCTTACTTTGCGAGAATTAAATTGTCTGCAGCTCTGTACCACTTAAAACACATTTAATATACTTAACAGTTATCTATACAGGCTGGACACAAAGAATTCTTTTCCTTAAGCTGTTTGTCTCTTTCCACAATGCGGTCTTTTCTGAGTGCAGTCCATCTTCCACACTTACGTAACCCTCTGCAAATGCTTTGTGCCACTTACGTTCGTGTCCCGGCTGCGGGCATGTCTTGTGTTTTCGTCGACTCTCGTACGCAATTTCTTTGCACGAAACGCTCTTAAATGCCGTCGTTGCGTTTAGGTGACGCACGTTAGGGTAAATTGCTCTAGAACGAAACACTTGTTACGACTTGGGTTCCAGACCAGTGGCGTACCGTAGTGGGGGCGGCACTTTTTAGGGGGCGGCAAAATTTCACAATAAATAATAATATTATCTTGTAAAAATTTGAAACATTATAATCTATACTTGCATCGCGCTTACGATAGTGCTATCGTCCGGACTGTCGGCTCGCCGTCCCGGTGAACTAGTAATTTTTAATCCGAGGAAATCCTGCGAAACCTGTAGGCCCCTTTTTTTTGCCTTTACGATTCATTGGTGTTCATATACACCACTAATATTCAAAAGAACTATTTTAATTTAAACAGTTCGCTGCACTAGCACGGAATTTCATTGCTTGTTCTGTGACAAAACTGAATTTTAGTCTTTTAAATTGAAATATTGAAATACCTAAATAAGGTGGAGCGAAATTTTTTCTCCGCCCCGGGTGGCTGACACCCACGGTACGCCACTGTTCCAGACCGAGTACGAGTACCTTTTGCGCATGGCTACCGACTCCAACTCCGACTTTTCCTTATCATCCGACTCCGACTCCGACTCCGGCTAAAACACCAAAACTCCACGACTCCGACTCCGACTCCGACTCAACAGCCCTGCCAGGGCTGTGGAAGTCGCGTAAAAATCTACCGACTCCGACTCCGACTCCGACTTTTCCTTACCATCCGACTCCAACTCGGACTCCGGCTAAAACATCAAAACTCCACGACTCCGACTCCGACTCCACAGCCCTGGGAATAGCAGATGTCGAAAGCATTCTCTGTTCTGCGTTGAACGGAGAAGAGACATTTCGCCATTCGGACGTGTTCCGAAAAGTGAAATGTCTCCATGTTGACGACATTATCTTTGCCGCACTGGGAGGGGAGGAATGTTTCGATCATTCCTCCCTTTTCCAACGAGTGGGATCCTCTCGTTCGGTGTGGGTAAGGATGCAAAGGAAAAAGCGTCGCTTCGTAAGAGATGCGAACGACTTTTTCCTTTGCTATTTCTGAAGGACATTACTAACCTAGGATACGAAGGCAAGAGGTTTTTCGTTTGTTTTTTCCTCTTGTCATACTGTAAGATGGCCGACTCGGTGGAGATAGGGGACTTGAAACCCACTTCACGGCACCTGTGTAAGGTTGCCGTCTCCTAGATGGGAGCTATTAATCCCGCGTCAGGATGAACCTAAGGGAAGGTTGTATGTGGGCTGTGACGGAGGAGGCAAATGATGGCAAGTGTTTTACACAAAAAAGCCGTTTATTTGTTAACATTTATGCTTACATCGGCAATCGACAGTCCTTCACTAATTCCCGTCGGCAATGTAGAGAGACGAGGAGGTCTACTTCTGGTTGGCCCCGGTGCGGACGAGATGAAGTCGGAAGCAGCGGAGTCCAAAGTTCGTGCCGATGACACACCATAATCTCAGTCGCGACGTTTCGGGGAGTCGGAGGAGAGCTCTCTTGACCTTGATTTTCCGATTTTTATAATTTTTCTCCCACTATTCGGACTTTTGATTGGCCCCTCGTCCCCTTCCTCGCTTCCCGATTGGTCTCTTTTGAAATTTGGAGAAAACCGAGACCGACTCGGGTCACGGGAAAGGTCCGATTCCAGGTGTCTGCTCGACGCCGTTCTGTCGATTGTTCTTGGGGATTGTTGACAAAATTGCAAGATTCGCGCTCATAATTTAGCTCCGTTACTCGCGATTTCTGTCATCTGGGTACTCGAACGATCATATGCAATGATTTATCTCTCTTAAATCTTTCCCTCTTTTCAGAAATTGTTTCCCTAGATTGACTGTTTATGAGCGTTGGGGTCAAACTTCTACCTGCATATGACCACTTGTCTCTGACTTATAACTTTTCACTCTGACATTGATAGTTTGTTTAACACGTGTTCGAGTCATCCGAGACTCGTTGTCTACATTTTGTGCTGCATTGTTTAGATTATGGGATTTTCCTCCCCCTCTCATTTTTACCCTATCGTTATTATTTGAACATAGGAATATCGCGATTTACATGATTCGAACATCGGTTGGGTCCTCACAATACTAACAACATTTAAATTTAAGGTTTTAGTTTCAATTTACTAACATAGGATAAGAAGGCAAGAGGTTTTTTTATTTATTTTTTCCTCTTGTCATACTTCTATTTACTAATTTAGAATAAGAAGGCAAGAGGTTTTTATTATTTTTTTCCTCTTGTCATACTAACATTCAAACTAAAACCTTAAATTTAATTTACTAATCTAGATGTAAGAAGACAAGGGGTTTTTAATTTTTTCCCCTTGTTGTACTCACATTAGTTTAGTAATTCACATCCATGCACATAAACAACAACATCCTTCACGCTGAAACACACAGTTCAAACAATGACACATTCGTCGCATCCAATCACCAACGATTCCATTCACGTGCATTATGAAGAACACCGTTTCACAACACGAACACGCTTCCCAAAAGCCAACCTCTGGGTCCACGTCCCGGGAAGCGGTAACATCGGTCGATATGACTGATGGCCGAAGAGGCTCTGGTAACAATTTACTTTTGACTTATCTTCGACAATAAAATCTAAATTCAAATTCTTGTAATGATTCGTTTACTTGTATTCAAATGATTTTTTGTTAATTACAGTATACTGTATAGATAAAAATTTTTTCACAGCAAGTGAAAAAGATTCCAAATGATTGCTTTACCAGTATTTCTCAGAATAAATTGAATGTGCACAAAAAGCAGAAATGGATTAATATACGTAATACACATTCCAATGGTAAATACAGAATGTGAATATAGTAGAATGAGATTATAATAAAAGCTACACACTGCGAATGAAAACATTAACTTGCATAAAAAAGTAGACGTGGTAAGAGTACTTTACACATGCTACTTTTAATGTAATTTTAAAATATTCCTGTATTTAATTAACAAAATAATAATGCGACGGTTGTCCCAAAAGTAATGCACCGTTGGCTCTAACTCGAAAAATATTTTGTTGAAGTGATTACAGGCCTTCAAAATAATCCCCCCCTTATCAATGCACGCTTGCCAGCGGCGCGGAAGTGCTTGGATTCCGTTCAGTTGGATTCCGTTCCCTTCTTATTGAGCATCCGAATCTGTCGGGTCACTTCTCTTCGGAACTCTTCCAGTGTCGGAAAACGCACTCCCCGAAGGGGTTCCTTCAGCTTGGGGAAGAGATCGAAGTCGAGTGGCGGAGCTGTTTCCAGCCCTATTTTTTGATAAGTTTGATGATGTCGCTTTCGTTTGCCTGGCAGCTGTGTTAAAATACGATGTGCGCTCGTTTTCGAGATTCCTGTCTCCGCCTCAATTTCTCTTACCGTGATTCTCCAGTCTTCGTCGAGCAATGATGCAATGATTGAAGCGTTTGTGTTGTCAGCTGTTACAGTAAATGGCCGCCCCGCGCGCGGATCGTCTTCGATGCTTGTTTGATCTTCTTGAAACTTCGTGTGCCACCTCTGTATTGTGCTACGATTCACAGTAAACCTTCCAGACACTTCTTTAAACGCGGCATGAATTTCGGGCACTTTTTTGCCGCACACTGTTTCGATGCAAATATACGCACGTTGCTCTATTGCTGAAATCCGACCCGGTGGACTGTTCTCGTTGTCTTTTCGAAGTTTTGGCATTTTCCTTTTAAACGAATCCCACTACCATATGATACCAACGTGTTCGTAAGACTTCAATCTACACACTGACGCTTCGATCAGCTGTCTACGTTGCCTACAACGCCCGCTAGAGCGCGCTGTGCATTACTTTTGGGACAACCCTCGTAATTAATAGAACTTAAATAAAATTTTTTACATAGACTTATAACGGAAATCCGAAATTCGGCGTATTGTCGTTATTGTTTTTTGAGAAGAATTTCTGTGCAAGGTATAATACGTTAAGATATGCTGGGTCAATTTTTCAAGAAAAATAGGAAAAAAAGATAGGTATTTTAAAAAAATTGGCAAGAAGAACTTGGTAATATTTCGAATGTTGGGTAGACAATCTTTGATCTCTGAAATCTCCCGTTCTAAGAACTTTAAAATTTGGCCTCTGTCACAACACGCCATTTTATTAGCAAAATTTCGTTCGAGTCGCTACTTCACAAGATTTGTCAATTTGAGTCGCGATTCAAAACCAGCAAAGTTTAATAGCATCAATGCCTCTTATGCACAAGCTATAGCAAGGGGACAATAGGATGTTTAAGAGTTAATATCTTAGGATGAGGAAATGATTAATGCGTCTTTATACACAAGCTAGCGTACCGTGTCGTTTCGTTTTATAAACTACCCATTCTGAAATATTATTTAATATCTCAGAACATAGAATAAAGAAATTAAACAAATTCGACGCCAACACACAGACGAATTTTCCCCCTTTATTTGACATTTTTTGGGTTCGGAAGGACTCCAAACGTGTAAATTTGCAAAAAACTCGAAGGGTCAAATTTGACACGATTCCAATAATTTTCAGTTTTATATACGTAACAAGTTGGAAAAGTAAAAAGGAGTCGGAGTCGGCGAATTTTTGATGACTCCGTCTCCACAGCCCTGGTATTTATGGCAAAATTGTTCGATATTTTTATTCTATACAGAGAAAAAATAAACGGTATTAAAGTAAGATATTCTTTATTTAGGACAATTTCTAAACAGCATTTGAAATTAATATGTTTATAAATTCGCTTTAATCTAGCACTTAAAATTTGCTATAAAGTAATAACGAAAAAATATGAGTATTTCAATATTATTATTTATTTTCGAAAGTTCGGTATTTCCATGTTAATTCATAAATTCGACACCAGAGATCCCCTTAGTTACCACGGTAACTGTAAAATGTTCTTTAAATCGAAAAGGTAGATGGTAGAAATTCGATTTAAAAATCTCTTCGAGTAAGTCGACTATTTACCTCTGCGAACATTCATTTATATGATTTGCATATATATTATTTATTTTACGTCGGATTAATGCGAGATTTAAAATAGTCAAATGTAAGTGACGTTATTGTTTGCGCGGAGCTGCTGATTACGGTTTCCGCCATTTTATATTCGAACAGACTCGTGATTGGGAGAAAAAAAATTACGATAAATTATTTATTGCGGACTTGAATAGTTACTTTGCATTTTGCAATTAATGATTTAAGTTTTTCGTTAATGTTGATATTAATTTTTCTGCAATTTTATTACGAACGGACCATGTTAGTTTGTTGCGAGTCTGTAAAAAAGTGTCATGGCGGAATTTTATGTTTGGAGGGAATTTCGGACTTGCAGCGTGATAAATGCGATATCGATTGAATATATAAAACGCTAAAATAAAATTGTGTTTTTTAGTATATTTGCTTAGATTTTTCAGTAAGATATCGGGGTTTTAATTAATTAATTAATTTTAATAAAAGAAAATAGCCTTATTGCATATTTTACACATTCATTGATTTAATCTATAATTTGAATCAATATATATAAAGCTTTTCCCATTAAACAAATAGGAAAGTGTTGATAATGTAAATGTATTGTCTATATCAAATATGTACTGTACATATGTATTTGAATGTAGTAATTGTATACAGGGTGATTGGAAAGTGTCTGGCCAAAATTTAAAGGGGCTTAGAGGGGATGAATATAAAAGGATTCACAGTACAATGTTTGTCTGGAAATGCCACGTGAAGGTAGTAGAGGGCCCTGTGTAGGGCAGTCAAACAAGCCAGCAATGCATGAAGCTGTCTTTCCCCGCTGTGATTTCATACAGCATGCAGCACTTCACGAATGCTGAATTAGCAGATATCCATCTGACGTATGGAGCTGCGAATGAAAATGGAAGAGCTGTGCGAAGGTTGGGCTTGTTACATTTGTTTGTGTCTCTTTCCTTTTACCTTTCCACTTTCGTGTGAAAGTCCTGGACAAGCATTGTACTGCGAATCCTTTATATTTGTCCCCTCTAACCCCCTTTAAATTTTGGCCAGACATTTTCCGATCACCCTGTATACAGTAAAATGTGTGTAAAACCTGGCCCCCTCTAAATTGAGCATGTGGAATTACTGATATAAACTCAAATGATTTTATTATATTTAAAATTGTTATTTAGCTAGCAAAATGTGGTAGTTTATTAATTTAAAATTAAAAAGAACTTTAATAATGAGATTTGGTGTTATGTTGTACAGTACATGCCATCATTTAAGATAATTGATAGTAAATTGATAGGGAAGAGGTTCAACAATGGAATTCCAGTGGGATAAAATTATTATTATAATTCTCATACAGGAGTAATTCTTGATATACAATTTATAATCATACAATTAAAAGACCAGAAGAACTATGAATGATTTGAAGTTTTCACTAAAATTCTTAAGTGAAATATGATGCAATAAAATCGCTATAGAGTGGGGGATATGTTTACTTTCTAAACGGTGAATAAATATTGAAATATATGATTGAAAAATATAAAGTATTGGTTTATATTTCTCTGTTATAAATTGTTATACTTGCTACACTTGATATGTGTTTTGCAAGCGTTGGTAACATAATGGTGAGATACATAAACATTTGAAACATAACGGAATATAATTATAATTGGCCAGAATATTATAAATTATAGAAACATTAGAGATGTGTATCTGTGTGTTGCTAAGTTAGAATTATTTTGAAGTTCTTATGCATTTATTAGAAAGTCTGGCAGTGCTATAATTCTAAAAGTTGGTGTAAAAAAATTATTTTAGAATATTCTTATAAATTATTTATTAAAGTATGTATCTTTAAATACACTGCTACTATAAATTGAAAGAAAAATATGAATTAATAATAATCAAATTTTATTAAATAATCAGAAATACTTATGAACTATAAATATATTTGTTAAAAGTTTAGTATAATAGAACTATTAGTTATTAATTAAAAAGTAAAAGAATTCAATACTTGAACATACAGGAACATGTAGCAAAGAAAATTATGTCATGGCTGCATTAATAAGCATCCACAATATATTATGGCATTTTCATATTGCCAAAATGTGTTTTGTTTAATTATTAAAAGAATTTCAATGCAAATTTTGGTTTTCAGTCATNTTAAAATTATTAGTTATAATAGGAAACAAGGGGAAGATCCTTGTCTTCATTGAAAACATTTATTTCAATTTAAAAAAAAAGTAAGTTATAAGCTGGAAAGTTTATAAAATATAGAAAATAACTTTGATTAAGAGAAGAAAGTCATGCAGCTGTATAAAATAATAATGGATCCGAAATCATAAAGAGTTATCCGCACAACATCTGGTATAAGCCTTCCTTTGTTTTAAAAATTTTTAAATATATTTTTATGCTAAATGCTTTTGTGTTTTATTAAGTTTCTTTACTTAGTTGTGAAATTTAATATTTAATTAACGCATATGCAATAATAATCTAGAATAAAAAGATGAAATAAAGATAAATGAATTTATTAATGTTTGAGTTTATAGACGTGTATTTCAAAGATACAGTTGTGTTAATTTCTTTTATATATATTTTAAACATTTATTATTTTAATCAAAGGATTACATACAATTATATTTATCTACGAATACAATTCAAGTATTGACAGGAAAATAGGCATATATTTATTATAGATTGAGTCTAAGTTACTAAGCTGATAATCATTAGAAACTACACTTTAGTTTTATTTAAACTTTGTCGTGAAACTTTGTCCTAACGTAAAAGTTAATAAATTTAAATTTTCTTGATTAATTAATGCAGAAATACTTCGTAAATTTAGAAAACTAAATAACGTATTTCTCAATTCCTGATGTAAATAGACACATTATTTTTGTATGACAAGGACTAATCAGGCGAGAATTTCATCCAATATATTTTATTGTCATTCTTCACGTGTATGCATTTCGGGCTTTAGCTCCTCTTCCGTAAATGCTACAATGATATAATACATCAAACTAACCACTACATAAAATAAAACAAACATACAAACTTCTACATACATTTACATAACATATTTAATAACATTTTTTATATAAGTCTATAAAAGTTTTTTGTAGTTGAGTAAGTAAAGATAAGTAAACATTGATCTTGTTTAAAGAATTCTTTAAACATCTTAAAATATGCCAGATCATTCTTTACCATAAACTGACAACAACAAAGTGCCTCTTTTCCTACATTTTACTATTGTAATTAGCCAATTAAAACTATTACGTCACCCCAATTTGTATTAACTAAAGCACTATTACTTAATTTTATATTATTCTTATATTTTCTAATTTCAAAAACTCTAATTTGGTCAATATGGCTTTGCTTTTACAGTAACACATTTTCGGTTATCATCTTACACATGGCTACTCTGTTTTTCCTCTTATTTCATAAAATACGGCTGGGTTTCGGGATTGCAAGATTGGGCTACGAATAGCACATTAGGGCTCTAGGCTACTACATTTGGGCGATTTACTACTTTTGAGCCACTATTAAAAATAATTTGGGCTACATTTAGAAAAGTTCTCCTTTACTTTTTATAAAACCTATTTGGCAACCTGTTATTTGCTTGCGGTTTATTTATATTAATATTATTTATTATAAAATAAATTTCAGGCTTCAAAAATTTTCAATTTTGTTTATATAAATATGTTAAAAATTATGTTTGATTATACAAAATGACATATAGTATTTCAGTAATGGTTTTATTACTTTTATATAATTGAGTAATTGCAAATTATCATTTCTAATTATTTAGATTTTTTCCCTGTTTTATTTTTGCTAATATAGTCTACTTTGGAAGAAAATTTTTAATCATTAAGAGTGTTTATTCTGTTTTAACCAGTTAATATCATTTAATATCCAGATTTCACATTATATCATGAAAATATTTCAACTTTTTGTTTATATTGTTTTCTAATTATCTATTAATATGGGGAAAATTTTTGTATTTGCTCACTAAATTTAAAAAAGTATTCTGTGTAGAATTATAAAAGTCATGTGAAGCAGATGGGCCATAATGTGGATCAAACAGAGATTGATTCAGCCATCTATAGATAAAGATTTTTCTTTTCGTTTTATCTTGTAAATAGGTCATTTGATTAAATGTAGGTATGAAACATGACTACCTCAAATATACAGTATTTAACATAAATATAACATTTGGAAAATTCTGATGGCATAAAATCAAAAATATACTGAATAAAGTGTAAAAAGAAGTTGGAAATCATTCTCAATCTCAAAATGCTATGTGAATAGCTGATTATTAACATAACAAGTTTAATGCAGCCTTTTTTTATGTCTTTTGCATTTATATTATATGTCTGCTGTTATATATCAGACTTTTTCAGGAACTGAAATATAGAATTGAGACTTTTGAGATTTGATAAATAAATTGATATTAAATATGGAATTTTAAGAGGGAAATTTTATATCAAATTTCATCTTCAGTTACTTTATTTTCATTAAATATCAAACTATTTTCTAGTGCATGATGATAACCTAATTTTATAATACTTTTTAAGATTTTATATATATTGAACAGTAATTATATTTGTTTGCAAGTTTTCTTTTTATATTAATAAAAAGAATATTAATATATTTTAAATGAATAACTTAAAATTTTAAAATTATTTAATGTTTTTAAAAATTTTTCATTGTAGAAGTTTGGAAGTAAATAGGAATACAAAAACTGTTAAAATATATTAAAATAAATTTCAAGTGAACAAAAATCTTTAAACTATAGAAACCTACATTTTTAATGTAGATTTCTATATTTTAAATATTCTAACACAAAAACAAATATATGGATTCTATTATCTTATATATCTTCATTTTTAATGTAGATAAGTTATGTAAGACTGTAGAATCCTTATTTGTTTTGTCAGGAGTATTATAATACAGATACTGAAGTAAATAATTATTAATGTATTGATATTAAATTCCATGTTCTTTTTTAAATTGTGAAGGTTTAGGATGATATTTTTCCTTTAATCATTATATTGATATTTATTATTGCTATAAATAAAACCTATATCTATAAATTAATGAAACTAACCCAAACTCATCTTAGTTTTATAAGGTTGGTGAGGAGTTTGGATTAGGCTAGGATTGATTTCTTGATGGCTAGAAAAAAAAAGAGGTACCTAATAGTTAACTCTTTCATTCTTTTCTTTTTCTTTCTTATTTAAATCTTATGACAATGTAGAAATATATTTAATTGAATTATTAACTTTTGATTTTATATGAAACATTTTGGATAAATTTAACTATTTTTTTTTTCTTATGTATATTTTATATGATTTTCAAGTAAATACTATTAATGTGTATTTTATGATGATGATATAGAACACAGGTTCCCAACCTATGGGTCGTGACCCAGAAGGGGGTCGCAACAGGTTTTCTGTGGGG